GCGCTAACATATAGAATGTATAGGCCTCGAATCACCGGCTTAGGAGCATCTTCAACTTCTTCCTTCATCAGTAAACAGAGGGCCGCCATTAGTATAGCACATATGGCGTTTTGAGGTGATGATGATAGTGATTAAAGTGGCCAGACTGAATTCCGGAAAGGGTCTATTGGGACAGAAGAAGATGCCGTTTGGCTCGGCGTCAAAGCTGAAGACGTCGGTTCGCTCCAGGGGGCAGTTAATGCTTTCGCATTAATAATCATGCGCAAAACACAAGAGCACTGCTTTGAATGCTGAGGCTTGCGTAAAAAAGACTGGTGCATAAACGTCGTGTACAGCACTTTCAAGAAAAAAAAAAGATAAGAGAATAAGAGAAAGACGAAAATCAAAATCATAAACAAATATTACACGAGATGAACTCAAATGATACTTGAAGATAAATTAAAGAACATAACGTTGTCCTTCAGATAATATTGTTGTGGCTTAGCCGAATCATTGAAGTCAGGTAAGATAGAAGGGTGTTCCTTTTTAACTTCCTACCATTCCCCCCTCTCTCTCACCCACAACTGGAGTCGCCAACCAACAGCAATGACACCCTGACATCGTTACCTCATATAAACCTTTAAATTGGAAATTGAAACAAAATTTTGTCACCACGGTAAACAGGTTGTACTGAAAAATAGCATGACATTCTATTAGCCGCGAGATGTTTTTGGTAGCGTCCCCCTTTGGTGTCCTCTAGTGACGTCATTATCTCGCGAACAACGAGTTCGATGGTGTTAGTAATTAGCATGGCGGAATCTCGAAATCATTCCGCTCTCAAAGCAACACTGCCAATACCATTAAAATTAAAGTTCTTACATTCCTCTTATTTCCGTCCATGGGAAATCCTTTGGTGACGTGATAGTCAGCATTCGGCCGATCGTGGCAGGCCGACCAGAGCGACGCTTTTGATGGCGCACGTCGCCACTACTGCACTGTAACGTCGGGAGTATTCACAAAAATTGAGACGTGCTAGTTGCATTCTTGTCCAAAAGTTTATGTACTTATGATGGAATATACATTACCGAAGCATGATTGAAAGCTGAGTCTGTTAACATTACTTGATACGTTACGGTTTCAATACCACTAATGACAATCCCCAGAGCTTAAACGGACACTCAAGTGGTTTTTGAGTTCGTGTTTTGATGATGACAGCTGAATTAAGACTAAGGATGCCGCGAACCGCCCCAGGTTCGATTTCGAAAGGTTTCAATATTTGCGAAGCGAACTAAGGTTCGATTTCAAAAAATTTCGATATTTTCGTACTGACCGAAGTTCGAATTCGAAAAATTCGCAACTTTCGATCACAGTAAAGTGGAGATTTGGGCCAGTTGGTTCATTGCAAGCAAAAAAGCGCCGAAAAAATACAGGGACACAGACGAAGGGAAACAGGACAAGGCGCACTCTCAACTGATGTTTATTGAAAAATTCACACGTTATATAGCCACACACACACACACACACACAAAAAAAAATTAATTTCTTTACTATCTACTCAGCCCGCGTTTCAAAAATTCAAACTCATTTGTAGATAAGGATACCGACGTGTCACTTATACAATTCTTGTCTCTGGTCCTAATTGCATACGCCTCGTGTAATTCCCGCGACACTTTATCTTTGTATCTAGACAAAATCTTGGTGTCATTGAAGGCCGGGGTGCAAGAGCATCTATTGCAATGAATTGCAAGGTGCCCCGAAGGCGTCGTTCTTGTAGAGGCAGCGTGCTCTCGGGTGCGATCATTAACGCACCTGCCCGTGCGTTAATGTTTCAGCAGGCACCTGCCTGCTGAAATAAGTACGTTGAATGTGCCACTGGCGTCGTCTATGAAATCCCCATGACGTGTGGGATGACATACGTGGGCCAGACGGGCAGGTGCGTTAATGATCGCACCCGAGAGCACGCTGCCTCTACAAGAACGACGCCTTCGGGGCACCTTGCAATTCATTGCAATAGATGCTCTTGCACCCCGGCCTTCAATGACACCAAGATTTTGTCTAGATACAAAGATAAAGTGTCGCGGGAATTACACGAGGCGTATGCAATTAGGACCAGAGACAAGAATTGTATAAGTGACACGTCGGTATCCTTATCTACAAATGAGTTTGAATTTTTGAAACGCGGGCTGAGTAGATAGTAAAGAAATGATTTTTTTTTTTTTGAGTGTGTGTGTGTGGCTATATAACGTGTGAATTTTTCAATAAACATCAGTTGAGAGTGCGCCTTGTCCTGTTTCCCTTCGTCTGTGTCCCTGTATTTTTTCGGCACTTTTTTGCTTGCTTTCGATCACAGTGGAGTTTCGAATTCGAAATGTTCGAAGCTTTCACGGTTTCTAAAATTTCGGATTCGAACATTTCGAATATTTTTTTACTTCAGGTTCGATAAAATCGAAGATTTCGATTTTCTTTGGAAATAAAATTCGAAAACTTCGAACGCTTCGAATTTTTATAGACATGAAGTTCGAACAAATCGAAGATTTCGAATTTCTCTCTGCATAAAGTTCGAAAAGTTCGAAGGTTTCGATTCTCTTTTAACGCTAAAGTCGAAAAAAAAAAACTTCGAAGATTTTGAATTCCTTTCTAGTCCAAGTTTTCAAAGTTCGAAGTCCGGTTTTCAAGTTCCTCCACAGTTTCAGTTTCAAATAATGTTTTCACGACTCACTGGTTTTTACAAAATCAAGTTTAGAGAAGTTAAGGCGTGATATCTAAATTCTGCGAAGTTGGTCAGGCAACGAGTGTCCCAGATGTGCTGGAATATTTGCCAGTGCAGAGTGACGTGTGACCATAGATCAGTAATTGTGACCGCCAGCCCGGGGGGGGGGGGGGGGTCTTTAAGCTGCATCACGCAGTAGTGATCACACGAACACACTGTTTCACGAGACTCATCCAGTTCGAAACGGCCAGGGGAGAGCAGGAGGTTGAGGCTCAGAAAAACCTTGAAGCGACCTGGGAAACTACCTCGCCAATCCTTGCACGCTGGTAGTAATCCGATCGAACGCCGCCCGAGTGACGCTGGCATATAGTAAGTTAAGTTTGTATTTGTCCTGGAGGTTTATTTTCTGGGACGGAGGAAACGCCTCGCAAAAAGCCGACACAACTCGAAGTCGAGGAGCGTTATACTATACAAGTGGCATCGGAAGATGAAAAACGGGGGGAAAGAGGGTAGTGTGTGTGCGTGTCTGTGTGGACGTGGGGGGGGGGGGGGGGGGGGGGCTTCAGTTCCCTTCTCCCCCTTTCAAATATTTCGGACTGTTAAAGAAAACTATACGTGGAAAGAGGGCGTGGTCGAGCTTATTTTAATCTGAAATTATTTATGCATATGTATAGCTACTGTCGCTCTTCACTGCATAAACGATTGCGTAGATGGTCATTGTTAGAAAATCGTTGTCAGAAGGCACTACTCGTCACATCCTTAGTTGTTCGGAAGTTCAAAGCTCTTTTCGACCTAAATACCTGTGCCAATAATAATAAAAAAAAAGAAAGAATAAATGCGGGGATAACAAGCTGGAAAAAAAAAAAAAAAAACTATGGAGAATTCGCCGGAAGTGTTGTATTCTTGCATATTCAGAGGTTCAGAACTTCGAAACAAGTTTCTTTTACCAGAATGTGTACAGGCTAAAAGAAACACATTATTTTGTATTCTGCAGATGGCAACGATCAGTACTGTATGTGGTGCTAATTTAAATGCGATACCTCAAACCACTTAGACGAAAATAAATATCAAGTCTAGGTCAAAATTGCATGCAGATAAATGTTTGGACATTTCTTCGAAACTCACGTTGAATAACAATAATCACATCTTAAGACGGCACTCATTCTTAAAAAAGTATATCATTCTACCATAAATAGCTTCGACAATTGCGCGCTTCGAATTTGGCACAAACGATAATCGTCAAAAACACGTCGTCCTTCCTCGCCCCTTCGGGAATTTCTTTCTTTAAAACTAAGCACGCCAGAACATTGAAACAAATGGCATTGTCTTTCGTAAGGAACGCAGCACCGCGTGTAAAAGTTCTAGAAAAAAAAAAGTACGAATGTACCTCACTGCATTAATTCAAATGAAACCGTCCGCCGGTCTTTCGAAGTTCGACTAACGTCGAACTTTTACCCTAAAGGTCGAAGTTCGTTGAACTTCAGACTTTTCAGGATACGAAAGTTCGAAACTTTTCGAATTCTCTTGATAAATAAGTTCGACAGTTCGAAATTCAACGAATTTTTTGGTCAGTCAAGTTCGGAAGTTCGACAAGCCTCGAACTTTGCAGCGCAATAAGTCCGAAAGTTCGAAAAGCGTCGAACTTCTTAGCTTAACAAGGTCGAAAATTCGACTTCCGTCGAATTTTACGATATAGACAGGTCGAAAAATCGAAATCTTTCGAATCTTTCGAACCGCTTGAATCGGTCATCGAAACTTCGATTCGAAAAAAGTTCGCGGTATCCCTAAATTAAGACGCCCTAAGTATCCCTACAAACCAAAAAATATAGACCTTTTCTGCAAGTGCGCCGCCATCTTGAATTGACGTCACTTCCAGTATGGGCGACAACAATGTTTTGCCTTTGCCACGCCAATAGATGGCATTTAGTATATAAGCATAACCGTCACACTTTCTCGTTTTTCCTCCCTTTTATTTTTTTACCATTTGCAGGTTGAAACGTTTTCGTCGCCCATACCGGATATGCCTATTAGGTGGCTGGGGACGAGAGTACAGAGAAAAGGTCTATAGTCATACGGTGATTACTTGTTTAATAAAAAGGTAAATGAAGGCCGGCAAACCTCGGATCCAACCGAAAACGAAACCACTCTCATTGGTCATCGCACGCATATCAAAACGATCTCGGGCCAATTGCGTTGAACGACGTCCCGTCGCGCAGCGATCCCGAGATAGCCGCGCCGGCCGAACCTCTTTGTCATTCGAGCTTCGATCATGGCGGAGTTCTGTACGCTCGAGGACCTGACGCCGTTAGAGCTTGACATCCTTCGGCGGACAGCCGACCTGGGGATGATTTCCTACGACGCCAATCCGACGTGCGATGTATACGACAGCAGCGCATCGGAGTCGTGTTCGGGCTCTGAGGACGAGCAGGCGGCCATGTCCGAGGACGAAGACGGCGCCTTTGACGAGACGGGGCGGATCGGCAACACCGACTGGTGGGTGATACGCTGTTGATTTTACCGCTGTATCTGTCATTTATGCTTGTTCTCTTCTTATCTTCTTTCTCAAAGGTGCCAGTGCGCATGTTACGCGCAGATGCCGACAGCTGACGAGTGCGTCTGCTGCCGCGAGTACACCGCCGCCGCGTTGAGGAAACCTGGCTGCCTAACAAGCAACCCGGATATCGAGACGGTGTGCTTGAATCCGGGGGTGCTCGAGGTCGCCTACCTTATGATGCGGCACTACCGCCAGGACGGAATGGGCACAACAGCGTACGAGTGAGTTCAACACCGTAATTTGCTGTTCGGCTAACTTGCAAACCGGCGCCAGCAGTAAAACGTTAGACAGCTACTTTACTATCTGTTTCAGTGAGCGTTACGCACGTTACTTTTCAAATGTGATGTCACATTAGTGGTTGCATCGCATGTTTTACTTGCGTTTCGTGCCGTGTTTCATTGTGAAGTTGTGGGTCATCATAAAGTAAAATGTTCAAAACCTCGATTGCTGCATCAGTATCTCTTGCTTCAGAACAAGTTCGTGAGATCTGGTTAGCTCCAGTTTAGCTAATCACTAGTGATGGGACGGATCTTTATCCGAATCTGAAGGTTCGGAAATATTCGGAAAGGTAGCCGAATCCCAAGCCATTCGGAAAAGTTCGGAAACATTCGGAGCGTTGCCATGGTTGCCAAATCATGTTGATGAGTGTTTCAACTTTTCGTGATATTATACTCACTAAATTCTACAAAGTGCACTAAATATATTGTAATATAATATCACAGTAATAAATAAAATTTTCCGCTTTGTTTAAATTATTTCGGAGGTTTGTCGAGAACGGTAGCCAGACCTTAAGGGAAAATTGGTTTCGGTTCTAAATTACGACCCAATAGGCATGCTTGGTGCACACACATAGAAATGCAAGAGCATTTTTTCATCGCTGTAAGAGATCGATGCCGTACGTGCTCTTCGGTACAAACACATTTCGTGCCCTGGCACACAACCACACAAGTGAGTATCTTCGATTCGATTATCTCCAACGAGTTGCCACTGAGGTATAGGTGACATTCACTTGACGTCACTCGCTAGGTTCGCTGACATCGCCCACCACGGTCGCCATCTTCGAGGTCTCTTTCTATCGCGGGTGTCGTATGGCCGGACCTTTTGAGCGTGGTTTAGCAGCATTTTACAACTTTAAAGAGCCTTTTTAACCGAAACTAGGGGTTAGTCTTACACTTTGGCGCTTTTGAAGCGCCGTAGGAGTATTTTTTGTGTGTTTTAGTTCGTTTTTGTCGCTATCGGACTTGTTCACCGCGGCCGCGTTGCTCCCTCGGCTCCGTGAAGCACTCCGTGTCGCGCGCCGTGCCCACGGCGGTAGCTCTTGCAAGAACTGATTTTTCTACTTTGGTGCTTTTGTAGCACGGTGTGATTACTCTGTTTTGTTTTGCTAGTTTATTTACTGTTTTTCTCTAGCGGATTTGCTGCACTACGGCCGTGCAACCGCGTTGCTCCATCGCCTCTGTGTCATACATACGTTCTGCCTTCGGTGTTTGTTCCTGTGCAAAGACATACCGTGCGGCTCACAGAGTGCGCAGCTTATGAAAAATGCGGCGCATTTTTCATTAGCCCAAGCGATTTAAAAACCGCATGTAAGCGATTTGGCGAGCGGCGAGATAAGCGACGGCGATCCGCTTCGCTGCCGCGTTGCGAACCACATGAAAGCGTCGGGAGCAAACGACCAAGGCCGATGAGCTCTAAGTTTTCTAAAAATCCCAAAACCGAGCTATGCGACGAGCGACAGTGAAGCGTAAAGCGCCGTTCACACTCTTGCGACCGACTACGACCGAGAAAGACCAGACCGGTTTTTAAGCCTTTTGCGACTTCTTAAAACTGGACGCGCTGCAGCGAAGCTGGTCCTAAGAGATCGCAAGAGGCTTAAAAACCGGTCTGGTCTCTCTCGGTCGTACTCGGTTGCAAGAGTGTAAGCGATTTAGCGAGCGGCGACAGCCACGGGAGTCGGCGACGAGCGTCGGAGATTTCTCACGGTCGGTCGTCGCTCGGTTTTTCGATTTCTAGAAAACGTCGCTGACCGCCTTGGTCGCTTGCTCCCGTCGTTTTCACGCGGCTTGTCTGTCGTGGCTGTCGCTCGTCTCGTCTCGTCGCTCGCTTACATGCGGTTCAGCCTTTACACTCGCAGTACTCGGCGGCAACAAGGAAACTAAAACGGCCCACCTCCGAGATAAACCTTTTTCTTTCTTGTTCAACGAAGCTTCTTTAACGATATGAAATTGTACGACCGCATAGCACAGCCAGTCAAACCGCGGCCTCGAAGATGGCGAATCAACGGTGGCTATCTGGCAAAATTGAACCTGCAGGCTCAGTGAATACCACCTATTGCTATCGAAACACGGGAAACAATGTGAAACTCCTGGTTAATGCTATCCGAATTAGTTAGTGTTTGGTTGCGAACAATGAAGTTGTGTTGGACGCCCCTGTGTTGTGTTTCTTTTTCGTCAAATAAAGTTCACGTATAAAAAAACTTGCTGCCGAGAACGGAGAAACGACAGTGCAACGTTTTTCTTCGCCACCGGTGCCGGTACGCGGTCGAAGTTGTGACGAGCAACATTCATCTAGTTTTCGCGCCTTACAGGTGCAGACATACGCAGCTCTAGAGAAGGAGACAAATCATTTCCTTGCCTGAATATATATTTATTGTGCGTTGCGTCACATTATGTATAATACAGAGCATTTTGCTACATTTTACCGATCACCGCGAAACCGCACAGGAAGCGAAACCGTGCATTGGTTAGGCCCACGTCAACCACACCGATCAGCTCAGCTAGACCTCGGCGCCTGCCAGAGTTTTGAATTATCCGAGCGTTTTTGATAGCGTGCAAGCAATTATGATAAAAGCAATGCCCCGTCTCTTTGGCGTGAACTACTGCATCTTTTTGCCACAAAGAGATGCAGTAGTTCAATCGAGTCAGCATGAACAGTGCTGCCGCATATTTTAGGGTTTGTGACATGCATATTATTGTGCATGTTAGGCTTTGATCATCTGGTCTGTTGGAATTGACTTTTTCTAACAGTTCTTTGTGATGATTTATGGACCATTACTACACGATGCAAAACTACAACGAAAAATGGTTGCACTTGTGCCCCATAACCGCTGCTACCTTCTTGTACATGGAGTATACACTACTGCGGTTCAATTAGCAACATAATATAATGTTCACACATGTCAATTGAATTTGTGGGAAGAATAATGGACACAATCTAGAACTTGCTCTGCTCCTCGGGTTATTTTAGATAGGTTGCTGCTCCAGGGCATGAGGGCCCGTTGCAGCACTTTTTTTTTTGTTTCTGCCTGGTAGAGTTCAGAATCTGCAATTTTAAAAAGGTTGTGATATTGCGTCTTACAGACAATTATTGTGGTTATTCTTTCAGGCGCAACCGCTACGCCGCCTACCGGCATTGCGTCCTGTGGCTGTGGTGGCGCCTTGGCCAGCACAACAGGCGACCACTGCCATCCTGTGTGGTGAAGGTCATCAGGGGCCGGTTCCCCGACACTTCGTATTCCGGCTTTCGGCACACTCACTGAAAGCCACTCTGGGGGCTCAAACATATGAGGGTAAGTCAAAACGTTTCTGCAGTGTGGCTATAACGTTTCGTACATTGTTTTTACTGACTTCTGTCTTCGTTTATTTTATTGTTATGCCGTTGTGGTTCTGCTATGAAAGTTTGACCATAATTCATTTGTTTTCTCTTTGCTGCAAATAGATCATGGCCCCTCCCTTGGAAGTTTGCACCACAGAGGAAAAACGAGCAGGGAACCAGTGTCTCGCTCAACGGAGTGTCTATGAATTGAGTGTCCACACCTTCCGGCCACATAAACCGGAACCCTGCTGGTTTTTCCTCTTTGGTGCAAACTTCCATGGGAAGGGCTGTGATCTATTTGCAACAAAAGGAAAACAAATGAAGAATTATTATCAAACTTTCATAGCGGGACCACAACAGGATAACAATAAAATAAACGAAGACAGAAGTCAGTAAAAACAATGTACGAAAAGTTATAGCCACATTGCAGATATTTTTTTCACTTGCCTGCCCCATCCCCCCCCCCCCCCCCCCCCCCCCCCCAAGAGGATTCCCACCTTACTGTGGTGGAGGGGTTTGTGTGCCCCAATGACCCTCTTGGGCTATGCCGGCCAGGGTCACCCATGCCGGACAGGCCAGAGGATAGGGGCCAAGCAAAGAGGAATCCGTGGGTTAGTACCCGCCCATGCCTGGCTTTGTGTGGCGTTGCCAGTGTCTGGGAAAAGGGAGATTCTGATGGTTGAGGTGAGCCCTGGGTCATTACTGGACCCTTGGTTAGCTTTGCTGCATATTACGAGTTTTCTTGTTGTGATTACTGTTGTATCGTTAGCATTTTTACAGCTCTGCTTCATGGAATAGCACAGATTGTTGGCGATGTTAAAAATGTTGATGTATTGATTCCTTCGTTGATTTACAAAGTGTCAATAGTGCCATGTGATCTTTGAAAGGCACTAAAGATATGTGAATCCGTCATGTATGTTGTGAAGGTAATAAAATGCGATTGTTTTTTTTGTGGAAACATTGGCCATGTCTTTGTCATGCGAGTTTCTCTTAGGGGAGGTATACAAACATGAGTGGTGTACAGGGTCGTCCACTCTGCGTGGCCGGCGTTCCGCGAAGCGCCGCAGGTGAGCGCCTTGCGAGTGAGGGCCAATTAGTGCGCAGGCTCAGGGAGAGCCAGGGGCCAAGCCTCCCCCGCGTCATCTGCTACAGTGTCGGCACAGCGGCCATGTTCTGAGGCGAAGCAAGCACTGTCCTTACATCCCTGGTGTCACATGATACTCATAAATTTTGATCTGCAAGTGCTCTGCACAACTTGTTCCTCTGAGAAAGGTAAACCAGCCGGCACACAGCAAGTGTCCCGCACGAGAAAAAATTATTTCGCCACATAGAGGAGTAATTGCCGCGCCAGCTGCTCATGTAGCAGACGACGCAGCAAAGGCTTGGACAATGGCTATCTCTAATCGGCCCCAATTCACAAGGCAGCCAACTGCGGCGCTCCACCGAGCGTCAGCCACGCAATGCCGTGTGCACCCCAACAGTGGACAACCCTGTACATCGAGACCTACTTGCTTATTTGCAGGGCACAATCATGAAGCAATTTTTTAAATTTAATTTCACTCTTCCTTTATTGGCAGAAAATGCCCTCTATCCATTTTTTATGCCTGATGCACCGGATCCTACAGGTAATT